GTACGACGAACGACAGGTTGGGCCAATCATGCAGCGCTCACAACTGAAATCGTTGTCGATGACCATGTCCAGACAGCGAACTTGAGCGACTTGAGTGCTCAGCAGCGCTGCCAGACTCGTCAGCAGAGCCACAGAGACCAAACGCATCCTTTTTAGTGTGTTGATGCACGAATTCGGATGGGGTCTTTGTTGGGTGGATTCTTGATTGGATGTGAGATCGAGGGACAAGTGAGAGGTCGGCTGGAACAAGGCAGAGAGAGACGAGATGATCGTCTGAGAACAGAAGGTCGTCTGCTCGATGCCGTTAGGCTGTCGAGGGATCCATGTACCTCTCGCTTGGAAAGTCGATGCAGCAGCAGGAGGTACCTGTAGCAACTGATTGTGACGCTAAGGCCGCTCGCTGTCCAGGGCGGTCTTTTATGCGTTCGGGACTTTGGTGTCTTTCTCTCTTTCATGCGTCTTCTGCAGTCAGCTAGCTGCAAACGCAGATGCAAATCGTGAATGCAGATGCAACTGCAAGTCACAAGTGCAGCAGATGCAGCAATCACGGCGATCACGAATGACAATCAGAATCACGAATAGCCAGAGGCACAGTAAGCCTCCAAACGTCAACGCACACTCGTGACTGCACACCTTCACCACACCCAATATCCTTGCCCCACTCCCAATGACATTTGTGATTCTGGCAGCCCAGCCGATTGCACCGACGTGCCGCATGCTCATTCAGACCTGCGTGACTTATGCGTAGCTGCAACCTCATCATCAAAGATTGACCACCGCGATCCAAGCCACCGGTTCTTCTCACCGTCTCAAGCATCCTTCTTCTCACGGTCTCGGATGCTTGGTATTGGTGCGGATGCGAATGCGGATGCGAGGACCCTCTTCTACTAGGCGTCAAGCCACAGCGGCATACCTTTCGGAATGACAAAGCCTCAAGCCACGCAATCTCCGAGCAAATCGCTTCATTAGCCCGCACGATCAGGTCGACTAGCGCGCCGAATGCCGCACTCAACACTCGTTGCTGCGGGGTGTGGACGAGCTAGTGATTGAAAGGTGATAAATACGGCATACGACACTGCCACGCTAGTACAGAAAAGCTAGTCAAACGTCACGACGATGCGACCCTTGAGGTCTTTGGACTCGTAGTGCTTGTACACGTCCTTGATCTCTTCGATGGGGTACGCCTTCTCAATGTGGGTCCTGCAACCTTCTCGTGCGTGAAGATCCACCACCTCTTGAGCTTCCTTGGGCGTACAGATCAATCGTCCTCGGATCGTCTGCTCTTTGAAGCTGAGTGCGAAAGCGTCGACTTCTAGAGGCCCATCAGCAGGTAGTCCCACATCGCAAATGATGCCGCCTTTTCTCAAGAATTGCTGCGTCACACGAGGCAAATGTCTCGCTTCCGCGCAAAGGATGGCCTTGTCGACTCCAGGATCAGAGTCGTAGAAGCCTGAACCGAGCTGCTGGATGATTTGCTCATTCTTCTTCTCGTCGTCGTGCATCAGGTAGCTCTGATCCGGACGCAGATTGGCCGGCGCTTCTTTCAACAGATCAAGCGCTTCTTGACGATTGTCCAGCGCGACGACTTTGAAGCCAAGCGCTTTGGCGTACTGAACGCCCAGGTGACCAAGACCACCTAGACCCACGATGGCGAGCCACTTGCCCTTCTCGATTCCTACGGCCTTGAGAGCACCGTAGATGGTAGCGCCTGCGCAGAACAGTGGCGCTGCCTGATCGAAGGGAATGCTCTCTGGGATCAAGCCGACGACTCTAGCGTCCATCTTGGCGTACTGCGCAAATCCGCCATCGATCGTGAGACCCAAAAGACCCTTGACATTTTCGCACAATTGAGGTCCATTGGCTTTGCAAGCCTTGCACTTGCCGCAAAAGCCGAAAGTATTGATGCTCCCTACGCGACTTCCAACCTTGACCTTGCCTGCGGACATTGCCTCGGGACCGAGCGCGACCACGACGCCTGCTGGTTCGTGAGAGCCAATCATGCCCTCGTGCGAACCTTGCGAGGCATAGACGCCCTGCAAGACTTGCAAGTCGGTGTGGCACATGCCCGCAGCTTTGACCTGCACCAGGATATCGTGCCCTTTCAAATCGCCAGGCACTTCTCGCCCTTCTTGAAATGCGACGGAAGAGTTGAACTTCTCGATGATGCCGGCCTTCATCTTGCTTGGGAGCGCATTTTGACTGGGCTGCTGTCCGCTGGCTTGAAAGGAAGAGTTGTGAATGACGTCTCCGACGCTCTCGGCTGTTTGTTTGATCGCGTCCATGATGGCTTACTGAGATAGAGCTGCTGTTCTGTGCAAATAGGCACAAGTGGGAGAGTGATGCGAGAATGATTTGCAAAACGAGACGGAGGGTACTCAAAAGGATTCGGACTGCGAGCTGTTATATAATTATGGCATTGCGAGTGCCTGTAAGCGAGCTGAGCTGAGAATGGTGCCAGCAAACGCTCGCATACGAGTGCCACCAAAGGGCTTAGCAAGCGCCACACCACCCAACAAGAAGATGGAAGCGTGCTCCGAGGAAGAGGTGTGCATCCGACCTCGGTCGTGCGCGTCACGATCTCGCACACGACATCATCGATGGCAACGACGGACCCTGACGGCCGCTCGGCCCTGCGACTGGGTGCCTGCTGGGCGCGCTGACGATCCGAATCACATAGCAGCAGTGCTCTTACTGTACCTACAAAGGTCAGCGCACATTTGTTTGACAGGCGTGCCATCTGTGCTTTTCAACAGCAGCAGGGAAAAGGGTCCAACAACCTCATCCCACAGCAGCGCGTCTACCAGTGACGTACCTACCGGCGCGACGTGTACCGTACTGTATGTGCGCAAGTGTGGATCCACTCTTTGTCGTAGCAGCATCGCTCATGCT